GGCTCCTGGCCTTACTTCTAGGAACAAGGACGCTACTAGGAGCAAAGGGCATCGCTGTAGATTTCCGATGAGCTCAAAGCGAGGTCTTGGTGCGCTCGCCCGAGAGAAGTGACCCGGAGGCCGCTGAACTCTTGTTGGGGCCTGGTGCATGCTTGATGCCTCAAGTCACTGGTGCTTGATACTTCAGTGAATCTTCCATGCTTGGCTCTTGACTTAGATGATGTGCAAAAGGAGTGGGAGAATCTTCACAAGTTGGATCTTGCAACAAAAGCCAAATCTCGAAGCGGTTTGTACCACTTAATCAAGTAAGAGCGGGCTAAAAAAGTCAAAGCACAACCCTTTTCATCTTGACTTGCTTGGCATGCAACGGCCAATGGATGGCTTGTGGAGCTTTGTCCTTGGGCTCATGATGAGAGGGTCGCTGACACGTTAGGAGAAACATGTCTGATCCCAGCAACTCTCGCCACATGTGCTCTGGAATGGGGAGTCATGTGGTATCCTTTCCAGAATGTACCATTGGGAAAATATTTAATTGGAGGCTGAAGCTGGGCAAAGAAGTTTAAAACCCAAGCCATCCTGCTTAGACTCCTTCCATCACCAACAATTAGTTTGCAAGTCAGGTGCAATACCTGGAACACCAAAAATTGCAGCTCTTTGCAACCCAACTTGTTGAACTCTTTGGATCACCTGACTTTGATCCACCATGCGCCGGGGCCTGCACGGCCTGCGGCATGGATTGCCCTGCGGCGTCGGCGGGGGCTTCCGGAGAAGTTTTGCCACTCATGGCGACGAGGCCGGGTCGTGAATGAGCGTTCTCCACCTCGACCAAGGGACAGAACCACATTCAGAGGCAATCAATTCCTTAAAAGGTTGTTCATCTTGGAAAGGGACAAAAGCAGGTCAGAGTGTCAGAGGGTCTTTTTATTTTCCAATTTTTCTAAAGTGTGTTTTCTATCTGTTCCATTGGCTCCCCACAGGCGAAATCATTTCCACGGGTCTTGGCGGTGGAGGGCGCCAAGGAGATTGGCCAAAGGATCCGTGAGCTGAAACCTCAGCAGGTGGGAGAGGGTGGCTGGAGGGAAGCCGCGGAGTGGGGGCAAGAGGTCGACCTTCATGGTGGCTCGCCTGGTGATTTGAACGTAGGGGTTCACTTACCAAACCGATACTTCGAACTAATTTGATGTGAGTAAAAGTCAGACAAGAAACACTCTTTGACAAGATTTAAGATGAAACCCGGAAAGATGTACCCTCCAAAGGTTCTTGTAGTTATTTTTTTGTGTTTGTTTCTTTTTGCAACCCCAGACCTTCTGTTTGGCCTGAGCCTTTGTGGCAGGTGATGCTGGAGACTTGTGAAGAGCGGCTATCTTTGAGCAAATCTTCCGGTTCACAGGCAGAACTCTTTGCTGGTTTGATAGCAAGGTGCAACTTGACACAAGGTTCTCCAAGAATTCTAGTAGCTTCTTGTTACTACTAGTAAGGCACTTGTTACTAGAAGCGATGCACTTGTTCCTAGTAGCTTCTTGTTACTGCCAGCAAAATATGAAGAAATTGTTTTTCTGCAGACCTCATTGATTTGGTTCTCTCGTCCGTCTCGATGGCTGAGGGGTTGGGCTCCGGACGTTTGCATTCGCGGTTTGCAGCGAGCTTGATGGGCTAAATCACCGATACTCCAGGTGCTTTCATGGGTTTTGCGCAGGATGTTGTGAAGGATGAGAAGGACCGAGAAGCGTCTCCAGGTTGCAAGTAGCACCCCGTCAATGTTCTTGCTTGCGCTACCAGACTCAATCTCAGCGCAATCCCAGTGATTCTATTGTTCCCCAAGCAGTTTACTGTCGGGGTTCTATCTTAGAAACCAAAGCTGGCCACACTGACTGGCCGCGCCCCTGAACTTTGTCGCCGGAGTCTGCAGGCGGGTCTTGTCCTCCTCTTGTCCTTCTCTTGTCCTGCTGTTGTCCTCCTCTTGACTCTTGTCCTTCTCTTGTCCTCTGGCCGCGCTGACGAGCCCTGGACACACTGACTGGCCGCGCCCCTGAACTCTGTGGCCGGGCTCTGTGACCGGGTCTTGTCCTCCTCTTGTCTTCCCTTGTCCTGCTCCTGCTCTTCTTTTGTCTTCTCTTGTGGCCGAACAATTAGCGATGTCGATGCCGACAAAAATCATTGATAAAGCGGTTTGCTCTTGGGGGGGGAAGGTAGGGCGCACCAAGAGATCGTTTTTGACTAATATTGGTTCAAACGAATCGTTTTGATACTGCTTGGGGTCTATGCTGGTACAATTAGCTGACGCTACACTCTGTTGAATCAGGCAGCATGACCTCAGAAAAGCTGGGAAGTCATGACATTGAGGGGGCAACAGACCTAGCAAAGATCTTGCAAGTTCCCTACTGTCCTCAATGACTAGACGAACATCCTTAGTCATTAGCTCAATGAAATGGCTCAGCACGACTTTCAGAAGTTGTGAACTCCGTTTCTGGGTGCTTTCTAGCAGTCCAAGAGCATATTCCTTTGTACCTTCTTCGTGTTGGACGAACACTCCTATCCGCTGTTGACCTAACCCAGAAGGCCTCAGACTGGAATTGGTTGACAAAGTGTGAAAATACATCCAAAGGGACTCGGGACTGAAAGAAACTCAGTCATACGAGGTGATCGTCGAGTTAGTGAGAAACCACCAGAGATTTTCATACTCCGGACAGATGGATCACACTTTTTATGAATTTAGAAAAGACAGATGAACCATGATGAACCTCTACCCAGTGAGATTCCGAACCTTTTGTTTCACCAAACATGTTGAAGTCCCGTCCTTGGCACCGGGCCCATTCGGGCTGCCAGGCTGAGCCACGCGGATGCCATCGCCTTCGTCCACGGCGGTCTGCGCTTGGCGGAGCTGCAGAGTTCGCAGCGAGCCGCCGAGGAGGCGCGACCGTCGGCGAGGCGCTCGACGTGGAGTGGTGGTGGCCGGTTGGGCTGGCTGGGTTGCTTTATTGGTCGATGATTCTACAGTAGCAAGAATCGCACCAAGCATACATGAAACATGCTGTACATGAAACGTTTGAATACTTCAATGTGTCCAGCTTTGACTTTGATTGAATGATACGAAACTCCTCGAGCCTGAACGTGAACTCGCTGATATGCCACATGGCGGTGTGCTGTGAGACAAGTCTCACTGGATAAGCAACCAATCACCAATCACAGTCCTGAAGCGCTTTGTGAATGGCTGGAATATAATATATGTTTCCGGAGTGCTTTTCTTTGCTCCCATGTCTCAAAAATATGGACTTGGGAATTGTCCCACCTGTTTGGGGTCTACGGTGGTGTAATTGTTTAGTTGCTTTTGCCGCCAGGTTGGTGCTCAGGTCTACTGTGTGGATCGGTGGGGCTGCCCTGTGAATGTCGGTCGCTTAAGACTTCAGCGACACCGCTCGAGCAGACCGAAGCATACGACAGATGCCAGGTCATATCGGGAAACACAAAATCGCGTGGCCAAGCGACTGCTCTTGCATCCAAAGGACTGAGATCCAAGACACATCAGAATCAAGACACTTCTCGTTGTACTTCTCCGGGTAGAACACTTGTCCGAGGGCTTTCCACGTCCCGTCTCGCCCTTTTGTGATGGGGGTTGCTGCTTCAAAAGTCAATCATGGCCGTTTTACGTGTGCCTCTAGAGTAGCCTTTTGCCTCCGTCCATTTGCATCCTTTTGTATCCTTTTTGTCTCTCTTCTCTCCAGGAGATGCTCGGCTTTGCGCGCTTCGCGGCCGCCAACCTGGGCGGGGCCACCGAGTTGGGTGGAGAGGATGCCTTCCAATGCCCGGCGCCGGTGGCGGAGATCCTGGGAGAGGCGCCTCTGACTGCGGGGCTGTGTGGGTGTTAGGTTTTCGAAGGGTCCAAGATGCATGTCCATCCATTTGTTATATAAGTTCTTGTCTTTTGGGCCTCATTGTAGGAATTGTTGGACCAAAGCTTCGGGTTCTCTTTGTTATTGTTGCCCTGCACAAGTGTTTCAATTTGGGCAACAGTCAAAACTCAAACATCAACACCAAAGCACTTCAACGGGGTTCTTCAGAGTGAAGATCCACTCCCATACCGCGGCTGACAGCACCGAGCAGTCTCGTGTCATGGCTCAGCCGTGTCTGGACGTCAGCCACTGGCCAGGAGCGTGAGAGGCACATGGCCTCTGAAGCCTTAAAACATCACGTGACCGGGGCCACCGCTCTGTTGCTCTGCAGCCCTGCGAGGCGACACACTCGTCGAACGGTGGTCGGCTCGTGGCCGAGTGTGGCCCAAGCATTTTCCTTGAACTAGTGCCTACTAGCGATTGCCTCCAACATATTGTCAAATTAGGCACTGCGTTGGAAAGCTTCTCGATGTTCTAGTTGTGGCCTTTTTGCATACAAAGCACCATGCATATGCGATGTTCAGAAACTGAAAGGGGGGCAAATGGAGATGGTTGATGCTGGTACTTACACTAACATGCTGTCCTGTCCAAACGAAGTTTTGCATTGCACTGAACTCGTACTGTGCAGGCGTTCCATGCTTGGTCCTTGTCTGCTTGTGTCATGTTGCACACTATGTGTTGCCGAGACTTTCTTCTGACTGCTAGTTTCTTCATTTTCAATTCTCTACGACTCTGAAAATTGAAGAGCGTCGATGACGAACAATCATCCTCCACCAAAACCAATGCGCGGGGTAAAGACGAGGTTTGGATTTCCATTTGGTGGGCCTTGAGAGGAGCTCCTCTCTGCAACAGCTCCTGGAGACCAAGAACCCAGAGGTGCTTTTGTGGGGGGCACAACAAGAACCGCTTGCTTTCTAGTACTTCTGAGATCATTTTACACTGCAAGCAGGATGATGCCGATTCATTGTCAGGCAATGAAAGAAACCTCATCCACATCCAGGCCGAGACTCACATCAGACTTCCACTGAAAAGTTTGACAAATCGCAAGGCTTTCCTGGTACCTCATCATACCTCCCTTTTCATTACTTTTTCTTGCCCTTTGGAGGGTCTGGCCGTTCTTGCTGGTCTTGGTCTATGTGGCAACTTGGGCGAAACCCGAGAGACTCGAGACGCCCGAGAGACCCGAGAGACCCCGGCTTGTGAGTGAGGTGATCCCTGGCTATGGCACCGTGTACTTGTTTTGGCGGATGGCCAAAGGAGTCTTGACCAAAAGATGGGTGGTCAGCTGATTTGGATGGTGCGGGATGGTAGGTATGTGGTAGTGATCACTCTATAGTTAGATGGCTAATGGATGCTAATGGGCTGTGGTGATACTGGGATCTCCTGTGATACTGGGCTTGGAAATAGCAAATGCCGATGCCGTGCGGACTGATAGACCGATGGGTAAGTGCAGATCCAAGACTCAGAGTGACTCACTGCCATCTTTTCGATTTTCGAGGTAGCGATGGCCTCCACCTAGTAGTTTCTTGTTGCTAGTAGTAATGATGTTCTACTCGATATTACTAGGCCATTCTACATCTTGAACGCCAACGTGAACATGTTTGGGTTGTTTTGCGGCCAACGTTGTTGTCACTGAAAGGGTTTTTACAGTGTGTCAGGGTGTCCCTGATGGATCCTTGTTTCGATTTGCAAATGGCTTTGAAGTGACGCTACTTACGTAACTAAAGTCGAAGTGTACACAGTGTTAGTTGGACATGTGGAGTCACAGTGTTCCCGTGTTGGCAGTCGCATGGACAGCCGGGTCCCAAGCCAGTGCTATTGTGTTGCAGCTTGGACAACGGTGGTCAGTCTGAAACTGCCGCGTTTGTAGGTGGATTTGTGCTGGGAAACCCATGAACTTCTGAAGGCCACGCCATGCCACCCAAGAAGTTGCAAGTGCATTGTAGCTTAGGACTGGGTGACTGGATTTCATCACTCCTGCGGCCATCAGCACCAGATGAGGCTGAAGAATTTGGGGCTAAAGGGGAAAGGGCATGGAGGGCTGTTGGAGACGTAGTGTGCAGAAGTCGTGCTTGTATATTGGATGTTGGGTTCTCACGTGTTGCGTTGTATCCAGTTTTGAGTGCCCCTTTCTTGAGCTAGCAAGGTTGCCATGACGTGAGTTAAAGAGCACCTGAAAGCATCATATTTCAGCCTTTGTTCCTTTTGGGACACTTGCCTTACAGGGCAAACATGGCAGTCGATCGAGAAGACCTTTCCTGGATGTTTCAGTTTGTAGAACCTGCCAAAGTCAGTGAAGCAGACATGCCAAGCCATATTGCGGTGACCACGTGGAACACGTGGGGCGTTCCATGGGCATCGCCTTTGGTCTTCCACAGAGCATCAAAGTGGCGAGATTTTCATGACAAGGAACTTCAAAAGTTAATCGGAGATCACAACGCGAAGGCCCTCTCAACAAAGGGCACACCTCCAAAAGCGGTGGAGCCCAGAAAGGACCTCCTAGTGTGCTGCTTTCAAGAGGTCTTCAGTTTCCCAAAGGGACCGTTAATGGACTTTACATCCAGGTGTGATCCAAGCCAAATCACTCCTTTCTGGGAGAAATTTGTTTTGACTCTTGGCATCCTCTGCCGATTTTTGTCGTGCACTGTCTGGGATGCGCCCAGGAAGCTCTCTTCCGGTTCGATACACCGATCCGGGGATAGGATCGAGTATGGGACGGTGGTGGGCCAGGGTGGTATGTCATTGGCCTGGAATGGTCTGGTTGACTCAGGGCTGTGCATCCTAAGCACCTGGGAGCCGGTAGAGAAAGGCTTCATGGCCTATCAGAACGTGCCTGGAGGCTGTCATGAGGAAAGAGTTGCCAACAAGGGGGTGATCTGGGCCTTTTGGGATGGAGTTCTGGTGCTCAATACACACTTAACAACGCGAAGACATGTGAAGCCAAGGCAACTTGAAGAACTGAGAGTACTCTTTGAACATCTTCGAACACGCTTCCTTCTCAAGTCCTCCACTCAACTCTCAATTTATTTGCATGGTGACTTTAACCTTGATCCAAACCAGGAAGAGTTCTTTGGAACGTGGCACCAAAATTTGGGTTTGGAGCTGATCACCGCTGGTCTTCCCACGAATGCCAAACTGACCCGTGCGCTGGACCACATCTTCCTCTGGCGATCCAATGAGCAACGGAGTGAACTCCGCACCTGCAGCAACCCCATCAAGCCTTGGGACACCGAAGCCTTTTGCGGTGTACCACTCTCGGATCATTGCTGGCAAGGTGTGATCCTGACAAACAACGAAGCCGAATGAAGTTATTTACAGCAGCCGTTTTAGCAGTCTGACTGGCTGACAAGACACTCGGCGAAATCTCGTTTGTCTGGGAGTTGACGATCCAGGCTGTCCTTGAGTGATCGTTCTGCTCTTGTGGCGCGATCGGCTTGGGTGAAAAGGCGTTTCAATGGGATAATCTTCGAATGTGTGGTACACTTGGGGGACAGGTTTTTGATTAAACGACTGTATTATATATACATGTGTATCTACTAGCGATGGGCTCCAACATAGAAGCGATGGCCTCCAACTTGATTTATATTTTGGAGACCAGCCCAGTACAAAGGCAGAAATGCGGCATACATACAGCCAGCGTGGACAAAAGTGAGGCTTGTCGACACCAGTTCCACACAATCTCCACACAGTTTATTCCCGTAGGATCCTCGGATGGGTGAACAATGCATGTCACTTTTCCAACTCAAAGTCTCCAGACTCCAGACAGTGCTTTTTTATTAGGCTGGAGGCCATCGCTAGTAGATACAAATTAAAGTTCGACCCAAATGTGACCAGAGAAGCCTAAGAAGAATGAATGAGGAACCTAAGAAGCTTTCTTGCTTCCAGAAGTAAACCTCAATGTGAAAGGATCCCTGAAACACCGAACCATCAAAAAAAGATCATAAAAAGGAATTCCCTGTTCCTTTTGCAACCCGCCTTTGCCAGGCATCTGAGACTGGAAGGGCCCCAGCTGAAAGGTAAGAAAAAGGGACTTGTGCCGCCACGTTGAGCTCAGAAGCTTACCTCCCATCGAATGTATGTTCTTCCTCCATCCTCCGAGAGCATTTCCTTGGCTTGCTTTTGGCTTGCTTGGCCGAGTTCCCTTTTGCTTCACTTTCCCTTCTTCAATCAACTTTTGTTGCACTTGAGGTGGAGCTTTGTCGAGTTGGACTGCGCTTTGAGGAGCCGAAGCGGTCCAAGAGTATGCTGTAATCAAGGAGGAACAAGAATATAGACTGTAAAGCTTTGCACACCGGCGATGCCATAAGGGTCGTTGTTTCTGTTGTCGGTGGGTGCAGATACATGTATGTTCACATGGTATAATGGATACATTATCTACGGATATCTATGTCTATAGTGTTCCTAAAACCTCTAGGCTTTATAGAAGGGATATTTTTCTGTACTCAGATCCCGCTGGCCCCCAGCCGTTGACGTTGCTGTTGCTGTTGCGCGGCGGCTCACAAAAGGTTTGCTATGTTGGAACGGCACCTCGGTGGTGAGTCTGCAGGCTGTGTACGCATGTACATTATGTGTGCATCTACTTACGCACTCACAAGCGTTCATGACAATCGTGAGAAAGGTGCAATATTGCAGGCAGATACTTGCACACAAGGGTCCAAGCTAGTGCACAGGCTGTCCGTCTATCGCCAGATGCCACCAAGTTGCGCCGTCCCCTTGCGCAGTCCCTAACGTTGCCTTTGGAGGCCCCTCCAAGCCATCGCTTCTAAGCAGGGCCCCCCAGCCCAGCAGTGGGATCTTTCAAAGCAACCGCTAAACTTCGGTATCCCACGCGCCGCCCCCTCCTATAGGCCAACATTAGGCCGTCGCCGGCGGATAACAGTAACATTAGGCCGTCGCCGGTGTATTCATTCAAATTCATCGCGTGTACAGCTAGTTTGGTAATTATATAGCAGTTGATATAGAACATGGCAGTACGGTGTAGTGGCTGTGATGTAGTGCCTACTTTAATCCATGCGACTTTCTTCGACTTTGAAAGGCCTTCGGGTCGGTTCTGTTTGTGTTTCTGTCAAGGACATCAAAGAGTTTGCTCAAAGCAAGACGGACCTTGTGGGAAACCAAGCAACTTCACCACTGACAGTTTCATGCAAGAATAATATGTCAAACCATGCAAAGCACCATGAAAGCCGCGGCGCTCCTTCCCCGTGCCCTGGTTGTTTTGATCTCTCATATGAGCCACAGCAACGGATGAGTTCTCATTGTGATCATCGCGAAAGATTGGGAACGCATGAGGTGGCCAAAGCGGCCAGAGAGAAGTTAGCGCTGGGCCAAGAGCTGCGCCAACCTTGGAGACATCGTTGAGACGAGCCACTGGGTGAAAAGGAGTCAAGGTAAATGAAGCGTCCTAGTAACTAGCGTCCTTGCTCCTAGTAGCGATGCCAGGAGCCCCTAGTAGCGTTGGATAAGAAGATTTCGGCAGGGCGCTCCACGGTCCATTGACAGATGTTGAATTTTGCACAATTATACAGCATCTTCTGTCCAGTCGTTTCCACTGGAAGTGAACCACGGCGTCTCATTGTGTGGCCATTTCGACCCCTAGCTGTCAGCTCTGGGCTCGAACTTGCCTTACCCTGCCACAACGTTCTTCCGCCCGTGGCTGGAGTCAGGCTGGGAAAACAATCGGGAGGGGCCACCAGGTATCAACTCATTCGGGTTAAAACGACTTAATGCAACTTGAGAAGCCACCTTGCAAGTGCTTGTGTCACGATACGATTCTGGCGCTTGTGTTTTTGAGGTGGAGATGACTGAGGAGGATATTGCACTCATGAAGATCACCGCGAAGAAGCATCCTGACCAAGAAAGGCACTAGAGAGTGGCCTTCACACTAGCCAGATATGCGGGTGTACAGGGTGACTAGTGACTGGAGTGGACGAGGTTGTTCAAGAAGGGTAATCGGGTAATACAAGGTGGCCCTTGGGCCCGCTTGGGCTTTTGATGGTGGAAACAGGGGTGTCCTTTTGGGTCTTTGAGTTTGGTTCTTCAGGTCGCAAGATTTGCGCTAAAAAGGTTTCCAGTAAGCTTGATATCTTGCTGGTAGAAGTTGGTCGAGCAGCGGCCTCAAATTGGGTGTTTCCAACATCTGCCAACCCCTGGAAGCCTGTGGTGAAATCTGGAGTCTTGCCAAAGACCCCATGGTATAACAAATCGGGAAAGGACCAGCCTTGGAAACTCACATCACAATCTCTCGGTGGCCAATCTCGCAGACACTGGGGACTTTTTGGTTAGGAAGGGATTTCCTGCACAACTCTAACCCAACAAGGATTGGTTGAGCCAGCCATATGAATATAAGGGACCAAAGAAACCATGTCTCAAGGAACGTGGCCTTCTACATGCGCGCTGCAGCATCGTTCCTGCGTGGGACCGAAGACAAGAAGCCCGTGAAGGTCCGACGGCCTTTTTGGCAGGGTGGAATTGCGCTGGGTTGCGCTTGCCTTTTATTGTTGGACATATGTTGAGTTGGCGCTTCAGTTCGAACTTCAATCCCGTGTAGTTCGAGTATTAAATTAAATAGGCTACTAGTAACAAGTGCCTTACTAGTAGTAACAAGAAGCTATTCGAATTCTTGTTTCTAATAGCTTCTTGTTACTACTAGTAAGGCACTTGTTACTACTAGCGATGCACAGTTCCTAGGCGCTTCAGTTCCAACTTCAATCCTGCGTAGTTCGAGTTTTTGTGGCAACTCCCCACCTGGACAGTCCCAACAACTCACAGACTTAAAGGTCCACGGACCATCGACGGCCGTTCGTATTTTTCTTCGCGACCGCAACAAACAGCGAGGAAGATTCCAATGAACAACAGAAACCACCGCCACAAACACACGCCCCCACCAAACAAAAGCTGCGCAAACAGGACCACCCGGGACGCAAGGTCGGCATCAGGGATTACAAATGGGAATTCAGGTTGAAGGCCATCGCTATTAGGTTATTGGTCATTGACTATTAATTGCGGAACTTAGACCTCGTCAAGCCACTTATGGGCATTCAATGCATCACGAAGTAGACCTCGAAACTTCCACTTACAATCATAGGACAATCGTCCGGGATGCCTGACAAGATAACGGTATTGGCAAAATTCATGGGGATGGCAAAGTCAGGATGAAAGGGAGGAGCATGACACCAATTCGTAAATCTTTGCAAAGTGTGACCAATATGGATACGAATTTGCTGTAGTATCAATGGACTGAAGGCCAATCCTGCCGTATGCGTCCTCTCTAACAGCCTAAATGAGTCAGGAATTTGTATGATTCTATAATAACATACTTGCGATATATGGGATCTTGTGTAAATCCTGGTTGACTGCCGAAAGTGAACAGAACAGATTGCCAGGGAGGTGGACCTGCCAAGGTCCGGAGCTGCAGGTTTTGATCCACTACCATGTCGTAAAATGTAGTGAAGCAGATCACTGCAGGCTCGATGACTGTCATGATGAAACCTGCGTGTGACTTCTTCACTTCTTAAGAAATCTTTTATCGGGATAGAGATAGAGAGCCACAGAGAGAGAGAGAGAGAGCCCTAAAAATCCTCAAACTTAACCCGATGATCCCGATGATTGACTTTCAAGGGGAGTTGGTCCAGGTGTTTGAGTACAGAGGGACGCTTGCCTTTAAGAAGAAATATATATATATATAGACTTCAAAGCTGTGGGAATTCGACGGTCTTTCGACGGTCTTTCGATGGCAGGAGCTGAAATTGACCGCCTTGGGCGAGGCCATTGGGATCGTGGCCTCGGTGGCAGCGCGGTGCGAGAAGGAGGAGCTGGGATCGATCAAGGAGGCGTGAGCCGAATGGGTGACTCACGTTTTGATTTTGAATGATTTTGAAGCCCCAAAAAAGCTTGGATTCATCAAGAGAGAAGTTCAAAGTTTAGGAAGTGCAAGAAGTCTGAGCCTGCCGGATGTGGGGCGGACTTCCGAGCTTCGCCAAGAAAGTTTATAGGACAATTTCAGAAAGGGATGGTTTGTTTCTTGATGCACATGCTGATTTGAAGCAGTGCAAAACCCATGAATTAATTCTTATTCCATTCCCAGCAGTCATGCTAACAAGCCCCCATGCCCCCATCCTCAGAACGCGAGACCAGTGAGCTGATGTGTCTCGGTGAGCCCGGTGGGGTAGACTTGTACGTTGCGGCGTGGACCTGGTGTCACCTGGTGTGTTTGCCTTCAACGAGTTGGCGCATCGGCGGGGTTGTGGCAATCGGCGGAGGTGAAGACGGACTACGCAGACGTGCAGACGACCAGTGGGGCAACCAGGGGTTGTGCTCAGCTGCAGGTGGGGGCCAAATGATTGCCAAACTTTTGTCAGACATTGTCCATTTCGTCTCATCTGCAAACAGAGACACAGGCCTGGTTTGACTGCCCACGTGCATTGAAACGAGGGGCGGTTCGGCTGATTTGTTGTTGCTGCTGCTGTTGTTGAAGGTGGTTCTCCTCAGCACCTCCTCCGGTGCCAAGTGAGGTGGGGCGGACGCCAGTTCAGTCAAGGTAACGTATTTTCTTGACGCGAGATGACATTTGCATGGCCGTTTCTTGTGAATTGTACATACTTCTCAGCATCTAGGAAGCTACTAGGTTGGAGGTCTCGAGGGCATCTAGGAAGCACATCTGGAGCCCACTTTGCATTTTGCTCTGAGCGCAAGCCGACATGCTGGGCACCATTTTCGTTCCTCGCAGGAGCTTTCACCATGCAAAGACACAGTGATTGGGTATCTCTGTACAAATCGCTCACAACCTCACAGTCTAGCGATGGGGTCTTAAAGGATCAAGGATTTGTATGGATTTTGCACGATCGAGCCAGGGCCACTGATGCTAGTTGATCCTTCCAACAAGCCTGACCTTTCATTCTAACTTGGGGCTGAGAGCTTCCCTTGCAAAGGCATGGGGTATATTACTATGGCAGTAACAGACTTCGGAACAGAGAATGCAGCAAAAAGACCGTTCGATTGCGGCCCAGGAGAATGTGTTATTTTGTGTGTTGCTCAAAGTTGGTGCTGCAACCGAGGGAAGCAGACCTCCAGTTTTGAGATTCCAAGACAGCTGCTCCAAGGCTATCCCACACACCCCAGGCGGGTGCCGTCACGTGAAAGAGAGGCAACCTTTGATCACTTTCCAATCGCAAAACATGCGCACGCACACAGCATACACTTGTCCCGCAACAGCCGGCACGACGCACGAGGGGCACGAGGGGCAGGAAGAACACGACCATGTCACTTGGAGGGTGTACTCTTTTTTTTGCTGGACGCTCAAGCATGCTTGGGACCAAGAGCACCTCCTATTTGCATCATGACTGTAGTGTCATGCACTTGGGAGCCAGGTAAAGCAAGCCTTGTCGATTCGCTGGGCTGCGGCTTGCGAACAAGCCGGAGGTCAAGAGGTGGTGCTAGGCGGAAGACGACGTGAACATGGAGCAGTCTTGGGCAAAGATGACATATGATGAAGTACCTCACAAGGCATCTAAGTCTATATAGGTGAATTTGTCATCTGCACCTAGCTCTCAAGTTCATCCAAATAGCAGGCAGATAGCTTTGGATACCTTTTTGGGTTCTTGGGCTCCTCACCGCTTTTGACACATCGCAGGTGCGGCAGCCGCCGGTGGCACCAGCGGCCTTTGCCTGGGAGCTTTGTTTGGGGCACCGAGTTCTGTCGATTCCGATGCCCTGGGGTAGGATGGGCACATACTTGTTGGTAATAGCAAACATTGTTACTACTAGTAAGGCCAGGAGCCCCTAGTAGCTTCTTGCTCCTACTAGTAAGGCACTTGTTACTACTAGCGATGCACTTGTTCCTAGTAGCGAACATTGTTTCTAATGGTTTAAGCTTGCCAAATAACCATATCCACAATTTGGTCGCGCTGCAGGCTCTTCTCGGGCGAATCCTCTGCCGCGGCGCAGCAGCGCCTGGCCGATGCGATCCAAGCGGCACAGCTGCGGAATCGTGGGGTGCTCAAGGGGTGGGGTGGATCTGGATTTGGTAAATGAAACCTAATAGGAAGGACGCTACCTTCCTCTTTTTCTCTTTTGGTTGTTTCTGATAGCGATGGCTTGCAACTAGCAAAGGCCTGTAAGGAATCAGATTCCTTCAAATGAGATGAATGAGACTGCTCAGACCCATAAAACAATCTTCTTTGCACCAAGGTGAGGGATAGGAATCATAGGAAGGATTAGGACAGTGTACCACTCACGGACAAGGCCTCTTTCCAATCCTTGGTGAGTTTAATTTGTTTCGATCGAATCGGCTTTGCTGTTGGGATTTTTCCAAGGGGATAGAAGGAATTGGCAAGATATGTGGATCTATGTGGATCTTCACTTTTCCCCCTTCCTCGTTGACGCTGTCAGATTGGCTTTCCGTCGGTATATTGATAAAGATTCGAGTCCTTGGCAGGATCCTCTCCAGACCAATCCTGGTCTTAGTGACTTGTTAAAGAAACAATGCTAATGATCCTCTTCATTTTCTTGTCTTATTCTTAGTGACTTAGGCTTAGTGGTGTGGAAGGAGATGACTTGGGTCCTCTCCCTATGGGTGGGAAGGAGATCAAAGAGATCCCAGCCCCATGGATCGGCTCAAGGCACTGGGGTCATCCGCTCCAAGCTCCGGCGAGGCGTGGGAGGTTTGGACGTCGAAAGGGGGAGGAGGATGTCCGTGGCTTGATCAAAAACATGGTGCAACCATGTCAGCTCATCCAACCCAATCCAACCTTCCTGCCTCAATATGATGCACCTTCTCCATTTCAGCACAAGTTCGGAAGCCTGATGCTCTCCCTGACTGTCACCAAGGCTCTGGGAGATGGTCACGTAGTCATGTATTTACTAGTTCAAGCCTGCATTCCTCTCAGGTGCCCTAGGATGTCTTCTTGATGTGTTCTCTTCCAATCTCCTCCTTTCCTCTTCATCTGTTGAATCAGTATCGCCTGCACCATTGTCCACACTTGTTCAAACCGGAAGCACTGGAAAGACAAATTCTCAAATTGCATCTACCTTGATTTTACACAGCCCGGCAAAGGTGCATTTGGGTGTATATGTGTATAGAGAGTGGGTACCCTGAAGGGCTGTGATACTTGGGGAAGTGGTGAGAACCGTCCGTTGGACTGTCCAGTACCACAGCAGGTGAGATGCCCTCTGTACATTCCATGATCACATCTGAATCCCCTTGGCTTTTGTATCTTTCTGGTTTTGTCCTGGTTGTTCGCATGCTTGCGTTGGGACTATGGAGTTCCACTGCAAATCCAGAATTCCTCGGTCCGACCGGTCTTTGGTTTTTGTCCAGGCTTCAGAAAGCGCCTCCTGATGCTGTCAGCCTCCGGCTCAGAGGCAGCAAGGCTCGTATGGTCGGCAAACAGAGGGGTTATTGCAAGTAAATTTTGCCACAAGACCATGCAGCAGCTCTCACATTTTTGTAAAGGTGATTTCTCAGGTTGTCTCTTCTGCCCTTCTCATTTTCTTAGCTGTCAACTCTCAAAAGAACCCACCAGAATACCGAGCAATAGAGCTCATGGTCTGAGGCTGGGTCTGCCGCGGCGGCTGCCTACTTGTGCACGCTTCCGACTGCTATGGAAGGTGGACGTTCAAACACCAGCCACATATCCTGGGTGTGTTCTTTTCGATTCCTGGTGTGTAATTCCGCTCGAGCCAAGCCTGTGAATTTCCTTTCTGTTCCAACATATATAAGGGACTATTGGTGAATGTGGAGGATTTAGGAGCCGCAATCACGATGGCGCAACTCCTGCTTTGGCACTGTTCTTGTGCAATTGTGATTTATTTTCCAAGTTACAATCATCTACTATATGCATTTTTCGCAGTTTGACATCTTCAGAACACTCCTGTGCTCTCTGTCATATGCCAGGTGGTTCTGGGTTCATGGCTGAAGCCAGTGGTATTGCGAGGTGGAGCGAAGCAAACATGCTGCAATAGTTCAGCTTGCCAGTACAGTGCTCTTTTCTTTTTTACATCCAAAGAGCTATACTGATACAAGACTGGATTAGTTAGTTGGACATCAATCAATTTCCTGAACCCGAGAAAGCAGATTCCAAGGTTTGGGTGTCTCGTATGGTTCCACATCCAGTTCGGCACCAATTTGCGGCTGCAAAGACGGCTTGCAAATTGCAGTGGCGATAAAGGAGAAGCAAATCCTACTGCAGCAGATCATGAATGGAGCTTTTGCAATGCAGGCGCTTAGGACGTTCTGTCGGTGCCTTTGGGCATACCATGCTCGGAGCCCAGATGGTCTGGAACAAGAGAACACCAGGGAAGCTTTCTACGTCGTTTGTAGCAAGTTTGATTCAGCTCCAGCATGGAAGGCCATTCGGTCCGTCTTGTGGTAAGGAGCCTTTTCTGAATCCTTCTGATTACACTCCCTGAAGCAAGCATGGTTACATGGAATTCACTACTTGTTTGGTATTCGGAAGGTGGTCATCCGAGTCTTCGGGACGATGCCAATCCACTTCCACCAGTTTGGCCACAGGCTCCGTGCTTCGCCCAGGCTCCAAGCACCGCCTTCCACGCGCCGCAAACGCCGCAAGTGGCACATCTGAGGTGCGGCCGCAGCGATCGCACAGACATGCGCGCACGCACAGAGAGAGAGAGAGAGAGACTCACTAGCTTCTTGTTCCTAGTAGTATGGCCAGGAGCCCCTAGTAGGCCCTAGTAGCATCCTTGCTCCTAGTAGCGATGCCCTTTGTTACTAGTTGCGTTCTGTCATCCTTTACATCCCCTACAACCTTTAGGGTGGGAGAAAGCCCGGGGTTTATCGCTCTTAGGGGGGAGGCCATCGCTAGTAGGTTGGAGGCCA